GACGACTTCACTGTTATTCTAAAGTGTAGAAATAGACATAAAACATAAGTAAGTGTGGTCAAACTTTTTCCATCATTTCTCTGGTATTAGGGACACCAAGATGATTTTGGACAGGCTATGTGAGTAGCCGAATAATAAAACGTGCCTCATACGGCTCCGGGGGGTGAATAAAGGCCCCCTGTAGCGAATCCATGTGTTTTTTAAAGAAAAATATCCATATTTCAAAAGTAATAAACACTTTTCTCTCAGTTCTGCTGACTGTCATACACTGAAGCAGTTCCGGCGGATGACGTAAGATGCGCGGCGTTGCGTGATTAGTGACGAATGCGGAGAGAGAACAAAACAAAACGCCGGTCACGAATTAGACGTACAAACCGAGGATTTGCAAAGAAAAATGTCAGAGGAGACTGGTTTTTCTTTGCTAAAGTGAGGAAACTTTGCTTCCTTTGCTCCTGTAAACAAACTCGCGAGACTAGCATATCTCAGAGGCGCGTGCTGCGCATACGTGCTGCGTCATCCGCTGGAACGCCTTTCCGCGTATGACAGATATCGGAAGTGAGAGAAAAGTGTTTATTACGTTTGAAATATGGATTTTTTTTAAAAAAAACACATGGATTCGCTACAGGAGGCCTTTATTCACCCCCCGGAGCCGTATGAGGCACGTTTTATTATGAATGCACGCGAAATCAATAAATGTGTCATATAAAAGACTTGCACTGCCCTGAATGGAAAAGTGATATTCAATAAACTGACCTGAAACTCTCTGACACTGACTCTGGGCCTTCATTGAACCCTGGATTATGCTCATTAAAAATACTTTCTCATGGCACGCATGACGTCAGATCCCTGTCTGTTAATGTCGACTGTTTCCTGCCCCTGCTCTGAACATGAAATAATTGGATAACAAGAACCAAATGGTGATTTATATGCTGCGTGTGCTTTTGTTCTTTATCTGCAGTTGTCTTGTTAACCTCCTCAGTAACCTATTTTGAGTGGAAACAGAAACGCGCTGTTTTTCGGGCCTGTCTCTTTAAATGCAAATAAGCTGCTGCTCCCCGCCCTCTTTTCCAGAATAGAGCCACGCCATTACAGCTTGGACCTGCTAAAAACATCTGTTTTGGTTCTGATTATCATGTTTATCGCGCTTAAATCATGCGTTTTAAACCATATTAGTTTAAACATCTGAAATACGGTTTTCTGAGTGCACACATCCGAGAAGCACACGCACAGAAAGCGGCTGTCACAGCATGTGAGTACTAATCTAAGTTCTCATTCACACACAAGTTTACATTAAAAACACACGAGTTACAAAAACAGTTGGTTATGTC